TTTCGCTCTTAATCCCCTGGGTTTCTCCCAATTTCCCCATTCACACCCTCGAAGCAGGACATATGGCGGCGCGGCGAGCACGGCCACCAAGTGGTCCCTCCGACCACCAAGGGTCCGTGCGAGCTTACGTAAGGGCCGATCGCAATCTACGGCTAAACCCGTAGAGATAGCTGGCAGTTAGAGACTTGGCGGCGCACTACCATGAGCTGCCGCAGCGAGCGGCGATTCGTGGTGGCGGCAGACCTATTCCGATGAGTCTACGGGCTGACGATATGGTAGAGCTTGCAAGTGAGCAACAAGGACTTACCCCGAAGCCAGCCAAGCAACCGATTACGAAGGGGAAAGTCAGAAAACCCTGGCCACGTGCGCCTACACCATGCGGCGGTGCTCCGAGCGTGGCACCAACATGGCACCGCACCGACGATGATCACCCTATCCAAAACAGCGCGAGCACTGGGTTGAGGGAGTCAAGACGAGCACAGGGCCACGAGCAATTTAACTATCACCCTTCCTACTAGACGCACCTCCCAATCTATCGGTTCGGCGGCGTTCATGACCGGCGGCGAGAAGAAATCAAAATTCGACCGCGACAGGCGACGACTGGACCTGGTGCGAATGGGGCGCTTAGCTAACTCCCTCTACTACATGCCGACGCCAGGAATTGGACTGGAAAACCTTGAGCCGGTGAATAAGAAAGGGGAATGGCGAAAGCGGTGCACTGCCACCACAACAGCACGGGGAGCGGCCCAGGCCGAGGCGACCCGACCAGGACCGACAAGGCATGGCGGCACGTGGCACGGTCACACAAGGGAGGACAAGGATCGTGCTGCCTAGTGCTCGTAGGGAGCCTTTAGAGAGTACCTGCTCGGGCATGTGCACGTGGCAGCGTGGCCCCGCGACGCAGCAAGGTGCGCCACAACGCTGAGAGTAAGGCGGGGTAGGTGGATTGAGTGGTGGAGAGCAAGCGCCGCAGTGACCGAACAGTAACAGACAAAGGCCGAACAGCAATAGACAAGGGCACCTCCCTGTACTCGCGCGTGGACGGCATTACGGTCGACATCAGCTCGTGCCCAGCGGAGAGCGGCTACGGCCACGCTAGGCCCGGTGGCAGCGGCGGCCGAGGGGAGTGCCGAGGCCATCGGCCAGCAGCAGGCGCCACAGACAGGCTAGCCAAGGCACTACCACACCATGGCCAGACTGAGGGTAGCTCCCGCCAGCCTGTGGCCATGCGTGCGCGCCAACGCGGTGACCACGCACTCCCGGCCGAACGGTCCAACAGGGAGCTACGCACGAGTTTTTAAGCGAACGAAAAACTGCTAACGATCACGATTGAGGTTCAAATAATTCCATGACTCTAAAGTTGATCTTATCAGCTATCTAATGGAGCAATCCGCACAACAAAAGGCCACCCGAGAGGAAGATACATGTGTGCCAAGATGAGTTCGTCCTCGAAGTTCTGGTTCACGACAGAGCGTTGACACAGAGCTCACAGCGCGTTCAATGAACTTTGGCAAAAAATTTCGAGATCCACGTGACACTCAACACGACTATAACCTACACCATTCTCGAGTGCTCACCTTGGGACAACCAACAGTGCAAAAACATAAATCTAGTGTTTAAAAAATTTAATCAAAATTTAAATACCAAAATGACATTGTTTACGATTCTTTTCTGACTTAAACAGAGTAAAGGTTTAGTTAGAACTAACAACCTTAAACTCTTTTGCCTTAATTTTGAAAGGGTCTAAACCTTACCGGATTCAACTAACAATTGTACCATGACTAGCCCATACTACATACTAACTCTTAGAAACATAATATCCAAGCACTTCCTAATTAGTTTGTCCAATATAGTTCACCAAAGAATGATACTTTAAACACAAGTTCAAGCGTTTGCCGGCAATGAAATGACCCTTCTTAAACACCAAGTTTGATTTTTGAACTTCCCAAATTACTAACTAATAGTATTTATTCTCCCAAAAATTAATGTTGCATTTTTATCTACTACACTTACACTCTAAACTTTATTCAAGTGCTACATACAAATTATATTTAATTTTTTTTATAAAAATTACTTCCATGCCAATGTTTAGAACTTCTTATGTTACTCTTCGTGTTAGGATTTTTCATTAACACATAAAGGTATTTAAGTAAGCTAGCTCACTATATTATTAGATCCATCCCCTCAGCCATAATCTCAGTGCTTAGCGAGCTCGTAACACCAGAAGTGTTATATGCAACCTACCTGAAAGCATAGGGTCCCAAGATTTATCCTTACAAAGATAGGAGCATGTGGCAGAAAGTTCAAGGACTAAATGTACTTCCACCAGTCTATGAGAAAAAAAGTTGGCAGGCCACCTAAGAACAGAAGGAAGCAACCTCATGATGTCATGGGCAAGTTTGGTCTCAAAATGTCCGAGCATGGTACTGTGATTACTTGCTCTTATTGTGGAATAGAAGGGCATAACAGGGGTGGTTGTAAGCTGAGAAAGGCTAGGATCAGGCCTGAACAACATCCTGAAAGCAACCCAAATATGGAGCGCGACCAAGAAGGAGGATCAACTGATGGTTACGAAGAACCAGTTACCAGTCAGGTATGTTAAACTAATTATCATGTCAGTTCAATTTGTAATTCATACACTACTTTTATGTCCCACAAATTTAGCAGGCTCCCATGCAGTTTGGAGAGGGGAGCCAACCACTACTATCACAAATGCCAGGAACTTTGTTTTCTTAACTGTATGCAGATGTAAGTACTCATAAACTTGGTCCACTTTCTCAAATTGAAATGAACACCACCTAACTTGCTGTCATGCAGTGTTCACAAACAAGCAAAAGGAAATTTCAGAAGGAACCTTTGCCAGATTGCACATTCATCAGCACCAACCAACCAACTGCAAGGCCAGTGCCCCCTACTACTGCAACCAAGGCAGGAAGAGCAAGGTTGAAGCGCAATGCACCTACTGGTCTATCTAATTAGTAAGGTAAGACCAAGAAGACCACATCTACCAAGATAAGAAGGCTTGAAGACCTGTGATTGTGGTCTGTAATGTGGTCTGATGCTTTTGTATGGGTCAATATCATCACTGGCCAGTTTATGTGAACTTGTAAAGCAGCAACAAAAACATCTTAGGTGATGCTTAAGATTATTTTACTTCCTTTTGATTCTTCCAGCCAGACAAGGAAGATATATACATCTTTTGGTTCTTCCATATAAGCACAGGAAGATAGTAGTAAGTTAGTGGCTTACATCCAGGACTTGCAGGTCCTTAGGAAATGGTTGATGGACACAGAATCTGTGACAATAAATCATGCTTTAATTTTATGGCCTATTTTCCATCTTGAGGAATTCACATTGTTTGATCTGTGAACATCATCTTGCTATACATGCATTACTGAAATTACTGACAGATGCATTGATAACATAATATTGCTGAATATATCATCCAACAGTACCGAATACATAAAAGCAACATGGTTACTTGTCATGGCGTTCAGCGACACAAATCCAACACTAGTGATTACATATTAACCTACTTAACCAACAGGACTAATAGAACAAGAATGAGCATGAACAGTAGAGCAACACAGACTACAAATATTGCCTTGAGCATCATGACTACTTCTTTTACCATTTCAACGGATTCATCTTCCCTCTTTACCCAACCCATGCAGCGTGGTCCTCCATCAGTATTCATCTTCAAATCAGGTGTTTCCACCATGGGTGTGCCTGCATTGCCCGGACCTAATACAGCACCAATAGTTTTCTTGCCGAACACCACCTCCAAGTACTCCTTCTCCCACTTCCAGAAAGGACATCCGGTTCCATCTCGCTACAAAGATCGCTAATATCAGTTTCGGATCTAACAAAAACAGGTAAAACTTGATCTTAACTGAACCACTAATCTTGTAGAACGGGCAACAGTAGAACACCTGCCCGTAGCTCCATTCCTGCTTCGATACCCGGCGCACCACCTTTGCTCGCCCGCACTCCTTGCACTGGATCAGCTGTATGTCGGCTGGATCTATCGTCGACGCCCTTGATTCACCAGCCATGGGGCCGATTTGATCCGAGCGACTGGAGCGACAGGAGGAAGACGATATGGAGAGAGAGGGCAGATGCAAACAGTGGGTTAGTTGCCCTTTTTAGCAGAACTTGAGGTGTCCTCTGCAAGATTGCCAACGTCCAAGAGCGGCAAAAATTCTGCCAGAACCAAGCGACCGACACGCTGGCGCTGCCACGTTGACTAGAGGCCGCACTGGACGGGAAATGGGCCTTCGGTAAATAAGTTGACAAGTTCAGGGGCCAATTTTTTGAGTTTGTAAGTTCATGGACAAAGTGGCACGTGCCGACAAGTTAAAGGGCCGCCAATGCATTTAACTCTAATTTTATAACAGTATGTGACCCGAGGCTTTCTTCCATTCGAATTTCATTTTTACTTGTGAAGCTGAATGTTTCATTTTTTTTCCATTGACCTAAAGTATGAGTGTATGACTAGTGTGAGAAGATGAATTTGTTTTTTTTTTTCCACGGTAGGTTTGGTTGAGACATGGTGTAATGCATACAAACTACAAAGCAATGCAACCATATAAGTTTTATTGACATCGTATAATGGATGTGAAGTAGAAGTACAAACCATTTGCTCGTTACATAAGGTAAAGCATAAAAACCCTATGCTTTTTTCTTCTATTCCTAATTTCCTAGACCTTTTCTTTTTCAAGATCATTTTTGCTAGTCTTGCTGACTATAAAGAACGAAAGAATATACAAATTCATTTATGAGAACCATGGGTAAAGATTGGAAAACTAGTGAACGAAAACTGAAAGTTATCTACTAGTGCAACGCGGCCACCCGGGGACTGCGACTCTGAAAGTCTGAATGTTCTGATCCCCTTCCCTTGCTGCAGAAGGATTGTGTTTTCCCCTTGTTTCTGTGCATCCATACTTGCAATTTGTGGGTATCTCCTGTGCTGCGACATGGAGATATGTTCAAGTAAAGGATTACTTCAGTTGCTGCTGGCTCATATTAAGCTTCGATAGGAGGAAGACGCTAGCAGAGGAAACGAGCACCGCTCCACCAAAGCAGGCCATGTCGAGTCCAGTAACCAGCGGCACGCTCTTGAACTTCTCAAGAACCCCCACCTGGAGCAGCAGGAGTATGGCGTGGCCGATCCTAGTCTTCGCCTGCGTGACGGACCTGATCCTGGCCCCTTCTTTCAGCTTCTGGCATGGATTCGTAGCTCCTTGTTATTAGTACCAACACATGATGTGTATTCAACAAGCATTGACAGGGATCAATTTACCTTCAGGTTGAATGCACCTAAGTGGGACGTGTCAACGTGCCGTGCCTGTTTCTGAATGCTCTGAGAACCATAGAACATGATGTACATCCCCATGCCAAACGTGAGAAGAGCAGTGCCAATCAGAAACATGTCTAAAGAGAGAGATGTGCCCACAAGTTAGTTAGTGGGTACAGCAGTGTGCGAACTGAAACTGACATGTTAGGAAGGTACTTAGCGGCCATAGGAGTGTACCTAACGCTTCAATAAGCAGCCTTATGATTTCACCCTGATCTACCGTGTGGGACATGGCATGGAAGCGCATGAAGAATGACTTCATCACAACAGCACAACCCTGAAAGCGTATAAAAATGACAGCCCGGGAAGTATTCACTCACATCATTGGCTACAGGAGGCAAGGCAGGTAAAACTGAAGAAAGGGTCTCTACCTCAGCAAACAACGGGACTGAACCAACAAGGGATCCCGCAACACCGATCAATGTGAAAGACTGGCAATTGATGATGACCTGACGTTGTTGTCCATATTAACTCCGTCAGACAAGATGAAAACCTGGTGGATAATTCTATGAATTGCAAATTCTGTTCTCTGTAGCATGTCTTTCAGAGAATCCTTACCTGATGGATAATTCTCTCGATGATCTTGGGGCAGCACTGCCTCGCCAGTGCCAACTGCGCGGCTCCAAACTGCCTCAGGATCATCCTCCTTGTGATCTCATACGCCAGGGGTAACAAGAGATCAACGCTCTTCACCCCCGACTCCGACAGGAAAACCCCCTGCCTCTTCTCAGGTGTCATGCTGGCAGCTCCCAGGGTGATCAAGGCAGCCCTCTGCTCTGCGTCGCGGCTAATCCTATGCGGCGGCTTCGTCACCTCCCATAGGAACGGGGACTTGAGAGAGGGGATACGGTATGGGCTGGTGTTACCAGACGCTGAAGATGAAGGAAGATGTCTGTCCATTTCGAATGCCTTGGTGGTCGCCCTGACCAACCTGCCGTTTGCCACTGCCATTGCTGAGCTTCGGTTAGCAGTACAGAGTTTCTCTCTTCCCTAGTTCCCTTCTGCTCTAAAATTAAACCGATGTTGTATGAAGAGAGACTCTTTGCTGCACCTGCTACCTTTTGTGGTGCTTACGTCTGAATTTTCGCAGGAGAAGGTGTAGAACTGTGACTGCATAAATACGCACATGCACGTGTGAAGAGGGATGTAGGGATCATGAGGGACATGTGTAGAAACGGGCAGGGGAGTTGAAGGGTGGGTGCCGGGTGGGACAAAAGGTTCTGAAGCCAGCACTTCTGGCTGGAGTGGATTTGTCCCGGAGCTGAACCAGCTCAGCGGTATATACGAATCTACGTGGTTTCTTGACGTCTTTGTGACACTTTTAGTACTTTTCATTTCGACACATAATATGACACTGATCTTTGATAAGATCTTTGGCTATTACGTATTACCCGTGTGTCTGTGATCCTAGTTACATTAAAGCACCCTTTTTTGGTTGTCTATTCAGTATCTATTGATAAAATTTGGATCAGCTGGCCGGCCATGGCAGGGCGGATCCGCCTCCCCCGGTCACGGATCTGGCCTCTCACGGTGGTCGGCGGCCTCCCCCTCGTCGGCGCTGCTCCTCCCGGTCCGGCGTCCTTCGTGCGCGCGGGGGCGCGCATGGGCTGCTCCGGGCACCCCCCCCCCCTGCTACCTCTGGCGGCCGGTGGTGCCGAATCCGCCTCCCACAGGTCCGGATCGCCACCATGGATGGTGGCCCCCCCCCCACCGGCGCGGTTCCTCCCGCTCCGGCAGCCGCCGTGCTTGCGGGGGCGCGCTTGGGAGCTTCCGGGCGCCCTCCTGCTATCTCCGGCGGGTAGGCTGGCCGGTGGGGCCGGATCCGCCTCCACTGGTCCGGGTCGAGGCCAGCTGCGGTGGTGGCGGCATCCTCCCTTGTTGCATCATGGCTCCCCCCGAGCCCCGTGGTGCGAGTGGGTGGCGTGTGGGGGTGACTGTCGGACTTCGCGGTTGGCGCTTGTGGTTTGGCGGTGTCGGGGCCGGTGAAGTGTTCGCCGTTGGGTTCTTGGGCAAGCTTGGGGACGTTAATCCTCTTGGATGCTTCTCCCAAAGTTGGCGTCCGTGGATGTCATTCCCTTCTTGATGGCTTCGTTGATGCACTCACTTTGATCCCCGTTGCTTTCGCCGAGTCGCTCCATCCTGTGTTGTGCATGCATGTATAGTCAAGCGGTGGAGGCGGGGGTGGCGTGCCTTCAAGACTCCTGTTTTGTTGTGCTCGATGTGGGCGAGCACCGCGAAAGCTCATGTCGGATCTGTCGGCAAGACGACGGCGACGCCGCCTTCGCGCGTCTCTCCTCCTTGGAGGCGTTGTCATGATGTTTTCCCTCGACCGACCATCGCGGTGGTGCGTCGGTTGTGCCGTGGTGGCATGGCCGACAACGGCTTGCTTGGATGAGTGCCAATGACGCGTCGTGGTGGTGTGGTGGCAATAGCCAACCAGGGGGCACCAATGGCGCCATGGTGGCGTGGCCGAGGAACTGGCCTTCTTCTCAAGGCCAAGAGGCCGCTTCTTGAAGGCCAAGAGGTGCCGCTTTGCTTCTCCTCCGCCGCCGCAGCATGCATGGGGGCGGGCGGTCCGTGGCTGGACCGTCGGTGTTGTTGCTCGCTCTACTTTGCTTATCTCGTGCTTCAACTCTATCTTCACATTGGTTTGTCCTTCGGTGTTTGTTGTTGCCACCGCCGCTCGTTCGGTTCGTTGGCGGATGCTTTGCCATTGTTTCTTGCTTGGGTGGATGCTTGGCCACCTCGTCGCTTGGTCTCCACGCTCATTCAGCTCTCGAGCGTGTGATGGCCCTCGTTACGGATGCTTTGTCGTAATGGTCCTTTTCCGGCGGATGCTTGGCAGCCGTGGTCGCTTTCTTGTGCGGATGCTTTGCCGCGGTTGTCGTGCTTCGCTCCTTGGCTTCCTTGGTGGATCTTGGCTAGCAGCCTACACTACACCTTAGGCTACCAATGTGTTTTTGTCTTCCTGTAATAGGCTCAGTCTGTAAGGGTTTGGTGGTGGAGGCCCTATCCCGGTGCTTTCTTAATGTATCGTTTGTGTTTGTGGGATTGTGCTGGTAATTTTAGGATTACCGGCCAGTCGTTGTTGTTTGGTTCGGTGTTGTCTACTTCCTCTTAATGAAATACGTGCTACACGGCACGTTCGAGAAAAAAAAATAACAAGCACCTATTTTCATTAGGAATGTAGGGAAACCAAAGCAATGCGAGGATTGTTTCAAAAAAAAAAAGAAGAAGCAATGTGAGGATTATCCTGAGGACATTTTAGATTTGGACTTTGGAGGAACCTCTGCAATTGATGCAAAGATGATTACCGTCAGCCCTGAGTCCTGATGCTAAATAGTGGCTCGTTCAGGTGGTACCGATGCCATGTTTTTATTGGGGATAATAAGGATGCCATGGTGTTGGACAAGCAGGAGGAAAGATGTCTGCCTACTTTTGAACTTTGCTGCCTTCGTTGTAATATAGGCATCTTCTGCCTTCAGTTCAAATAAAATCTGAGGCCGGGCTATTCCTTTAGCGAGTCATGTTGATCTGAAAATTCACCCAAGAGATTATTTTTTATATTAAACCCAAGAGATTTTAAGTTTAATGATATTTACCATTATTTTTTTTTCTGTTGAAACTTCACCAAGTGGCATGGTAAAGAAACTAAGAATGGCCACTCTCTTTCTTGAACAGACTTGGCACACTGCATATAGGTTCAGAACTTTAGATTCGCAAGTCAAGTTCACCTCCTCCGGAGGAAAATGGAGCCGCACGCTACAATGCTGATGGCTCGTCGTCTGACGACGAGCGAAACACGACAGACGAGAAGAACGACTTGGCTGCACCGAAAGCAACTTTTTTTTTTTTTTTGATAATTCACCGAAAGCAACGTTGAGGAAGGAAAGAAAGAAAGAAGCAAAAGGTGAGCTGAACCTGGAACCCTGTACTAACTACTGTAACTGTAAGCCAAAGCTTCGCCGCTCAGCCCTCGGAAAAGCGCCGAAAAGCTCCAAAGATTTTTCGGCTGCTCCTGCTCGGTAGTACACGTAGGTATGCTGGAGCGAGGAAACGCGCGTGGAGCTTCCACGCATTTTTTGGCCGTCTACCACCGGAGCCACCGACGCCGAGAGGGCGTCAGACGTGAGGACGAGTGGTGGGAGCGAACCGGACGTACGCGTGTGCGGCGGCAACAGGTTTCCGTGCTTGGCCCGCCGGCTTCCTCCGTCCCGTTCCAAGGGCACGCACGGTCGCACGTGACGCAAACGCCGGCCGGTCGTTCGTCCCCGTCGTCTTCCATACGCGGAACGACGGCGGTGGAGGCGCGCGAGCTGCCTCTGCATATGCGTCCCCATTTCTACCCTGACGAAGACGAAGGCTTATGCTCCTACATTTTCTCGCTCTCGTGATGTGATGTGTGCGCCGATCATACACCGTCGGACGAACACGAACCCAACTTTAGTTGGCAGCTTACGCTTGGAGAAGCGACAGCATTCTGGAAGTTGCCACGAATCATGCATTCTGCTCCTCCCTCTTTCTTACCTGGGACAAGCCAGGTAGTGGCCATGGAGCTGGCCGGCGTAGCGAAAGCACCAGTCCAGGCTCAACGGTTGGCAGGTCCGTGTCAGTTCAGCAAAACGTCTCGGCGTTCGTTATCTGGCGAGGCCAGAGGCCACGTCGACGACGCCCAGTCGTGACGCTGATACGCTACAATTTCTTCGCGCCGTGGCCGCGTCGTCTACTCGGCTTTGTCAGGACTCAGGAGTCAGGGGTAGTTTCCCTTTCTCATGGTCGGAATTTCCAGGCAATCTGGGCCTTGCTCCGGTCCAATTAACCTGTTCCAGAAATGAAAAAGGAGCCTGAAGGCCCGGCAGTTTCTGTCCAAGGCCTAGGGCTTCGCCTTTTTCTTTTCTCGGGACTTTTTTTTTGTGTGTAATGATGAAGACAGGAGGTGGAAGACCCCTACTTGGAAATTAAATTAAAAAGACACAAGCAGCTTTGGAGTTTACAAAAGAAATAAAATCATGAAACAAGAAAGAAGTGGAAAAAATTAACCAAGCAGATGTATGACCAGGAGTCTAGCAAATCATTGAGAATGAAATCCTATATATCCTGCTGTAAGAGTAGCATCTGATAGTGAGCTTGTTATGGCAAGGGAATCCTATAAACAAGCCCATTGTCATCCATGTACACGATTGAAACAAGATTTTCAAACATTGCAAACTTGGATGATTTCGCTTACATTCCTTGCCTGTTTTGATCGAGTACCCTCAACATTTGTTGCAAAAGCATGTCATGAGCTATCGTTTGGATTACGAGTATCGAGTAATGAGAACTGGCCCAGCAGAACGTAGTGCAGGTAATCTGATTCTGCAGAATCCCCATTTATATTTTCAATTCTTTCCAGAATCTTTGCCCACAAGCTAGATTGCAGGGCACCACGATAAAAGGCGAGCATAAAGTTTTGGGCACTCGCAAAGCAAAGGGAAGTGGGGCTGCTTTCTGCACTGAGGCGAGACAAAAGCTATTTGTCTCTCTCCTTCCTCTCCGAGAGAAGACGACGTGACCAGCGAATGTGGTGGGTATTACATTAGTGTTAATCAGAACTTATACATCAGAATCCAAATTAGTATAAATGTATGTGTAATATATCCAGTTGGGTTGTACTACACAAGCAATCCGTGTTTGCTAAAATTTTGTTTGTTTGTTTATATTGTGTTGCTTGGTAGTTACAATCCGTGTTTAGTAAAAATATGAGACGAGAGAATATTTCATTTTTATCTATCTACGAGCTTGTGCAAATCTATTCACTCTGTTTGCTTGTTGGTTTCAATCTAACCACTAAATCTTTTTCCTCTTACAACCAAACCAAAGTCAAACCAAATTTCCAAATCAACCAACTGTGCCGATTGAAAATCTTGCACCTTTTTTCGCTTCTCTTTTAATCCGTCTTTTTCAGCCGGAACAGTGTTTTTCTCTCACCACAAAATCAACCGAAACAGTATTCCAGTTTTGTTTTTTCAGCGAAACGAACGGGCCACAGGTTGTACAAGTTAATACATGCAACTAGGCAGATCCTAGTGATCAGGTACTTTGCTCATGATCGGTGCACTCCATGGTCCACATGTATCTCTCTCCGGTTCAGAGCATGCACAGGCTTTTGTTCTGTTACCTCTGTAGTGAATGACAATGTGCCATTGCCCTGTGACCGTGAGCCTGGCAACAATGGCACGTGTACGCGTGATGAAACCCTAGCAGGTGGAGCACAGAGGATTGTCTCTTGTAAAGCATCCATGGGCCACGGCAAACGAACTGCTGGGCAATCTCGACTACTAGTAGGAACAAGCTGAACGGGAACAGCTTGCTAGCACATTACAGACTGCCCTCCGGTACAGACAAGACAACGCACACGGATCCTCGCCCATCTGGGGCGACAGAGGACAATGGCCATCACGCCTCTCACGTCCACGAACCAGAGATGAAAACGTGCGACACCTGAGAGGCTGAGACTGATGAGACTTGGAGCGGTAAACGATCTGGAACTTCTCAGCCATTCTCATCCTGTGCTGATTTCCGGTCGAATTTCTCGTTCTCGCGATCGCGTGACAAATTCCCATGTCTGAACCGAGCGCCGGAGGAGAGGACGCCTGCACTGCACGTACGGGGGGCTACGGGCTCATCCCCATCCTGGACGCCCTGGACGCCACCACGTTCCGCGCGTGCGAGTCGCACACCTGCGTGCTGAACTTGCACCCGTGCCGCGCCCTCCACCCGCCCGCAGCGTGCCTCGACCCATCCCCGCCGCCGTCGGCGCTGCGGCGGCCCGGCGACGGGCTGCCGCCGCGCCCATCAATCTTCTTAATAGCCCTGCGCATGCTGGAGCACTCGCGCTCCAGCTCCTGCACCCGGCTCGCCACGCTGTCCATGTCTAGCCGCAGCACCTGGCTCTCCTGCGCCAGCGCCGTCGCCCCTCGCCACGCCGCCGCCTCGCTGGGGCCTGCCCGAGGAGCGCCGCCGGCGGAGGGCGCGAGGAGCGTGCTCGTGATGGCACGCCGAAGCTGCAGCTGCTCGAAGAAGAGCACCTGCAGCACCGCCCGCAGCGGGAGCCGCTCGTTCTGTGCCGCGTGCGTGCACGCCTCCACCGTCAGCTTCCGGCAGTCCACCACACCCACCACCCTGTCCCGCTCCTCCGCCGTTAGCCGCGGGTGCGCCTGCAAATTAGCCAGTCAGTGGCCAAAAGAGATGAGATCTTTGGCAGTGACAGCTCAAAAGGAGACAATTTTTTCTCTGTCCTTTAACGTGGACAACATGCTCCGTGGTGCACGTACCTTGAGGTAGATGTCGACGGCGTGGTAGACGCTATCGTCGCAGATACGGGCATGGTCGGGCAACAAAAGCGCGAGCTCGCAGAACTTGGCGGGCTTCAGGTTGGCGTCTGACGCAACCTCGGCGAGGTAACTGTCCACTAGCTTGGCCACCTGCACCATGACCACGGCAGACGGCCGCGCCACCTCCGCGGCCACCGCTTCCTCCTCCTCGATCGCCGCCGAAGACGATGCCTCGCCGCCAGGCTCCTCCTCCGCGAGGAAATACCTGATGATCCGCTGGACGCAGTCCACGTCGTAGAGCGTCTCCGCGGTGCCCGAGTAGTTCAATATGAGCACGTCCTCCAGCGTGGCCTGCTGCAGCTGCGTGGCGGCCTTCCGCTCCAGCGCCATGCGCGCCGCATCCGACGCGCGCAAGATGAGCGCCGTGCGCAGCAACGCAAACAGAAACTTGGCGGTGACCACGCGCCCCGAGCACTTGTGCGTGGGGAGGCTGGCGACCACCACCTCGAGGAGCTCCTTCTGCTCCACCTCCGAGGACACCGGCGCGGACGCGAGGCGCCGCCGCATGGACCTCGACAACCCCGGGATGGTGCCCCTGGCGTAGGACACCAGGCAGCTCTCCCTGGCCTCCGCCCTGACGTCGTCGCGCGCGGCCATGGCCGCCATCACCCGCTTGTACATGCGCAGGCCGAGCACGGCCAGGTCGTCGAACCAGGACCGCGACGCGGCCGACGAGCGCGCGGCGATGGCGTCCACGCAGCGGGACACAATGCCGATGTCCTCGGCGAGCGGCAGCAGCTCCTCGCAGGACTTTAGCGCCTTGGTGGCGTCGCCAGGGTGCCGCAGCACGGTCTGGTTCAGGTAGGCCTCCGCGCGCGCCGCGAGGTTGTCCTCGGCGTGCTCCTCCGTCATCTCCAGATACTCGGCCGCGCAACGAAGGGGCGCGACGTTCCAAGCGGTGAGGTCGACGCGGACGCCGTAGCAGAACTTGGCGGCCGCCTCGAACGTGCCCGGCCCGCCCGGGAAGTCGGGGAACGCAATGCTGTACGGCTGCCCGTCGCCCTCTCCCGTCCTAACCTGCTCCTGCTCCGGCTCGTCTTCATCCTCTTCCTCCTCTGCTTCCTCGATCTCTGTCTCCGCAGCACCGTCATCGCCTCCTCCGTCACTAATACTCATCATCTGTCTCCGCCGCCGCTGCCGCCCCCGCGCCGGATGCTGCTCCTCCTGCTCGCTGAGCATGCGGTGGATCTTGCGGCTCTTGGACATGAGCGGGAACTGCGCGGGAAACGCCTCAGCGGAATTTCATCGAGCACGACGCAGGGGAGCACCAAAGCCCCAACAATTAGAGCAGCTCAAGAACGAACTCACCTTGTGGAGGTGGAAGGTCATGTCGTGCACCTCGAAGACGACGTCGCTGGGCAGCCCCGTGGTGCAGAACCTGGCGCGAGATACAGAACCCATCATCAGCAGACACGCGAAAGCAACGGAATTCTGCATCAAACCACCGCAATTCAAATAGCCAGCAGCACCAGCAGCGCTCACTACTAGTACTCACCATGCCTGGCCCCTCGACGAGCCGTGCCGGACCGACGACGACATGGCCGCTGCCCTGCCCGCTACGCTCCGTCAAGCTACGATCCGGAGGAAGAAGGAGATGGCATCTGCTACATCTACTTCCTTCCCTCGCTCGTAGCCGTATGATTGGGGCGGGCGCCGGGCGGGTAGGTGTGGCAATTCAGGGCGTCTACCTGGCGAATTAAATTGGCATCAGAATCCCACTTCCCAGGCCAGTGTCAGCAGCAGGAAGTTATTGCTGGGGGGATAAACAAGCTACGGCTCGTTGCTGCGCCTGCGCTGCGCTTGTGGCTGTTCGGCTGCCCTCATCAGTCGTGATTATTTTTTTCGCTTTTATTTTCTCAAAAATTTCTCAAAAATAATTACGGTAGCCATCCCAAATGAATCTTCGATATCGTCGTCATGATTTCTAATTAAACGAAAAAAAAAAGTAATTAGTTTTTTTATTTAAATCGCGATACTAACGTATGTGAGATTCGATGCGATAGATTTAATCACTAACTTTTCGAAAGTTTTTTAAACTAAACACGGGCTCAGTCATACAATATTTTTCTTTCTTAATAAATCAATCGTACAAGCGCCTTACATTAAAAATCTGAGCTCATCAACGATCCGCTACCGGCTTGTCGCCGCTCATCTACTGCCTTTTTTGTGCGTGTTCTCTTGGCCGCTGGGGAGCGGCGGTGAGAGGAGGGCGATGAGGTGCGTGTGACGAACCACTGAGGCAAGCTGCAAGTGAGAGGAACGCTTGAAACTTCTTGCGCGAGCCCTTGTTTACGTCAAGCAAGCTGCAAGCAATCTTTGCGTCGTGTATGAAGTAGAAATGTAGGAAAAAAACTAATTGTATTTTGATTGAAACTTCGTTTTGCGTTTAATTCGAGTAGACCTCAAAAACGTCCTCACCTTGGCGCGAGGCTAGACCTCACGTCTCACCTGCGCCGGTCCACGGCTATGGATTTGGACAGCTGAGAAAAGGGCAAAAGGGGGATGAAATTATAACAGCAAAAGGCGGCCTCTTTCTTGCGTCGACACCCAACAGCAAAAGCTTTGTAGAAAGAGGGTAAAGATATGTGGATGCCCTGGGAAACCATTTCAGGCGGCCAACCATGTTGTATGGCGCAGCCGAGAAATGAACAATCTGCATTGCGTTGCATGTTTCGGTTTCAGTCCCCTATTATATTTTTTTGTGTATGTTGTTAGGTTGCCAGTGCCGACTGTCGAGTAATCTTAACTGTAAAGCATACGGCTACTAATACAGTAATGTTACGAGCAGTACGTGCTACGGCATGTACATACATTTGTTTTTGACCAAAATTCTTGCCTTTTTTTTTTTTTTCTTTCTTTTGCGCTCCTTTTAGGCGGCCAGATGGGAGCTGTCTGTCTGAAATCTGAAACGGGGGCGGTGTGTACTGCTACCGCCTTTACCGCTGGCCGTTTCGTTTTCGCACCGTTTCCCTTTTCTCTCCCTTTCCCGCGGTCGTTTTCTAGCCAGCCCGGCACGGCTGCGGCAGGATTTCATGGCAGGGCAGTTCTGAAGGTGTGAAGCTGACTAGCTGAGCAGCTGTAGAAGTAGAATGAACGAACAACGAGCACCAGCTCACACTGACTGACAGAGCCCCAACAGATCAAACCTCATGTACCTGCACCCTGGTGCAGAGCGAAACCAATTTTTGCTGCCGGTGCCGGCTAATAGCAGCTGCGCAAGTGAACATTAACAGCAGTTCATATATATACTGCACTTTCAATCGAAAAATTCGAATTCATGTCCAAGTCGTGGCTCAGGAGAAGCCTGTCAATGCAAGAACGTGTCGACGGCCAAATGCATTTTATCATGGCATCAGAATCAGGGATAATTGGACGGATGAACTGAACTGGAGGCTGCAGCTCAAAATCAACATGGGTCTAGTAGTAGGGCCTTGTTTAGATTGCAAATTTTTGTAACCATGGACACTGTAGCACGTTTCGTTTGTATTTGATAAACTTTGTTCGATCATGGACTAACTAGGCTCAAAAGATCCGTCTCGTAATTTACAACCAAACTGTGTAATTAGTTATTTTTTTTACCTATATTTAATGCTCCATACATGCGTCCAAAAATTAATATAATGGAGAAAGAGAAAAAAACTTAGAATTTGGAATCTAAGGCTAATTGCGGGCTGCCCCAACCGCGCGCCGCACAAAGGAAACTACTGTTCCAGCATTACTCCTCGCAAGGAAAAAAAAAAAAACTTCTCCAGCTGGGCTCCGGTATCTATTTATTGCTGCTGTGGAATGTGGATCCCTTGGGATCATCAGGACTGCCTATAATTTCGCTTCGGACCTCTCGTTGGTTGGTGTGATTGTCTTTTCGGCGGTCTTTATGACCACACTGTACACATACTAGTATGATGATTAGCCGTGTGCAAATACTACTCTCACTATTTTTTTACATAGTTTATCCTAAATAAATGGAACATTTCTAACTTTGACTACCAATTTTAAAAAATTTATGCAGTTTTACAACATGTGAACTACTCCCTCCATACTCAAAAATAAAGTCGTTTTGGACAGCGACACGGTCTCATAAGCATAACTTTGACTACTTATTTTTATAAAGATATTTATCAAAAAATGATATATGTAAATTTTTATGAAAGTATTTTTCAAGACAAATTTATACATATGGTTTTCACATTTCCAAACTCAACGACTTAAAAGTTATTCATGATTTATATTACCCAAGCCTATCCAAAACGACTTTATTTTTTTAGTATGTAGAGAGTATATATTATGAAAGTATTTCTTATGATAAATCGAAAGAACATAAATCTTTTATGTTAACTTATACATATTTTTTGAAATTGATGATCAATGATAGAAATATTTATAAATTTTAACTATTTAGATCAATTAATACGACATGTGAAAAAAGAGAGAACTGCTACTCCACATAGCTGAATTATCTGTTAGTTACAATGACTAAAACATGAATATAGATGTCAATATTCATATCTGCTTGTCGGGCTTGTGGAACGGGTACCAACTGGATTATCCAAATTGGGTTTCTATGATCCGGGTTTAGATCTATATCCACAAAAATAGATATAAATGTGTATATGATATTATCCGTACTCATATAGAATGAAACTTATCCAAATTATGTTGTAAATGTATTATCTCCAAATACCTAAGTTATATATTAATCATGCAAATTTACTCTTATGTCCTTTACACATTTATTTATTTATATATTTATTTACTTACAGACCCATCTATCATTAAATATGTTCTTTTCAATGAGAGTACTTTATAACATTTGTTATATGCTCATACTCTAGGGGACCGTGACGCCTAAGAGGGGGATGAATTAGACAACTTAAAATTTTGATTCTAAACTACGGCATCTTTTTCTAACCTTACCAAAACCTATGCAAAAGATAAACTATCTAAATGTGCAACTACGGTTTTACTAGTGTGTTGCTATCTCTACCGCAAAAGGAGTAATAAAACAATGTAAATGCGGAAGCTAAAAAGTAAGGTAGAGATATGCAAACTCCCGTCGACGACTCCGGTATTTTTATCGAGGTATCGAGAAGCGCGCAAGCTTCCCCCTAGTCCTCGTTGGAGCCTCTCGCAAGGAATCCCTCGCAAGGGCTAAGCTCCCGGTCGGGTAATTCCGTGGATAGCCCCGGGCCTTCCCCACACGCAAGTGGGCCTCCGGTGTGCCTTTCGGCAAGCCTCTCCCGGACCGCTCCCCGCCGTCTTCACTATCAAGCTTCCGGCCGAAGTGCCGCGGGCCTTGTTCCCTTCGGTATACGGTGGCGGCAGCACCACAAACGCGGTTGGTGTGATCTCGTAAGACTACAAGCCCCTCCGATGTACAACAATGGTGCGCGCAAGCACAGAGTGGTAAGAGGTATACAAACCTCACTAAACACTAGGCCTAAACCTAGAGCAAGCGCATAAGCGATGGTCTAATCAACCTAAGCACTTCGCAAAGCATCTACGCTAATCATCTAATGAATCACTAAGCACTATGCAAGTGGAGATCACTAAAATGGTGTATCAACACCCTAGATATGTTTCCTCAGCTCCACTCATATCAAATGGCCGGTTGGGGGGTCTATTTATAAGCCCCACTAAGAAAGTAGCCGCTGGTGACGAAATCTCGCTTTTCTGCTACTGACCGACGCGTCCGGTCGTCCCGACTGTTAGAGCGCGATCAACTGATCGGACGCTGATGGCATCCGGTCGCATGCCACCGGACGCGTCCGGTCGCAATTCCACCGCTCTGGAACCTCTATATACTCGATCGGACGCTGCAGTTCCTGCGTTCGATTGATTTGTCGCTAGCGTCCAGTCAGTGCTGAGTGTGTTGCCGGGATGATGAACAGTGCCATCGGTGCGTCCGATCACTTTCAGTCCTCAGCGTCCGGTCGTTGCTGCTGACGCCTTCTGTTGCCGAGCCGCTTGATCGAAGCGTCGGGTCGCTATAAGGGCTGCGTTCGGTCACTGCGTCCCGTCACCTCTGTGAGCTTGTTTCTTCGCTATCTTGCGTCCGGCTTGGTTCTTATCTTCGTGCTTGGACTATGTTTGATATCTTGGGTCTTCTCTTATGCTTCTATGGTCTTGCTTATGGTGTTGATCATCGGATCATCGTGTCGCATTCGTCCAGATCACGTCTTGCACCCTATTGGACTACAAAACAATCACTTGTAAATTTATTAGTCCAATTTAATTGTGTTGGTCATCAAATACCAAAATTCAAAGTTAATGGGCATAGGGTCTATTTTCCTTACACATACTTTGATCCCTATTTATATGATGATTTATTAGTTCTTCCAAGATGAAGTCACTACACGTTTCATCTTCTGATCCTGCCTGCACGTACTAAACAAAAGTGCACCTTTTCTACATTCCTATTGGATTAAATGCTTTTGTTCAGTAACCACCGCTACGTCAAATTAAAGCAAACCAATAGCGCCACAAGTGTCACGTACGGAGTACATCTAATGTATACAAACAGCCTACCAGGAGCCACCAAC